AATAGTAATGGTACTAAAACAACATTCAACAAGTGCACCAACTACTCAGATTGTTTTTATATTTCCTAGCAAATCTAATTTTTTCCCATGAAATTTCTCTTATTAGTACTTATATTTGGAGATTGAAATATCTTGTTATACTCAACTGGTTTCTTAAAGATCCTTTTTTTCCTCTCTTTTATTTTGTCTGCAGATAAAAAAAAAATCCTGCATCATATATATATATATATATATATTCAAGTGCACCAAGCAGCACCACTCTTCATCAATCTGAATCCTTGGGAATCAATATAAGCTTTTTTTCCCCATCTCTCTGTATCCATCTTATCGAGAAGCTACGTCATAATACATGAATCGCTCCATTAATGCTGGCTGTGGTACAATATATGTCAATTAATCATGCATGGACTCATTGGCTTGTTTCGAAGGATTCTTTCAGCCCATTTTTCTTTGTTTTCGTGATCATATGGATTATAGTTTTCTGCACTTGTACGTGAACGATTAATGGGTTATACTTCTCTGTTTAATTATATACTTTACGGCCAATCAAGAAAGGATGAAGCCTTGACTTAAGGGGATGGCTCAAACACAACCCAAATATTTCTTTCATTTATTCTTAGTTATAATAAGGTCCAATTCATTTCATGATCATTATTGATTGCAAGTATCTCATCAATGGGCACAGAGCTGAGGCACTCTCTAGCTCATCAGAAAAACCAAATATATTTACCTACGTCCGTAGAGAAAGCCAAGGAATTAATTAACGATTGCACTTCCCCTTTCACAAAAACCCATTGAATTATAAGTGTGAACAAGTACAGGTTCATTCATACTTTGTGCTGAAATTTATTTAATTATAATTGGGGTAATAAGAATCGAACATTAAATCATTTGATCAAAATGACTCTCACACCATCTCAAAGAATCATTCAACCTAAAATCTTAATTTGTTAGATGAGATCCTTGAATGGATTGATATTCTCTAACAAACATGGTTATACTTATAATTATCTGGTATATATTACAGACATATATAAAGCATTCTTCTTCTGGACTAATCTCTCCGCTCTCTCTCTGGTTGCAACAATATTGCGCTCCATCATTTTTCAGGCATTTACCATCATCAAGAACTTCGAAGACTACATGAATCAGTGAATCAGTATGATTTTGAATAAATAAGTGCCATGCATGCATGCACATGAACCAGGTAATTTGGATTTGGGACAAAGTGTTTCATAGTCCAATAGGGCATGTATTATTTGGTAAAGCCATCCTCCAGGGGTCTAATGGGAAGCTGGCTAGATGACCCAATGTGGGTTGGAGTATGAAAGTGTACACTTTGTGCAAAATGAATCCCAATCCCAAAGGTTAGTCCATACCCAGTCCACCACCCCTCCCAGGACCCCGAATGGCCTGCAAAAGGAATAACTTTGGTTCAAAAGCTAATAAACAGGGGGTCTTATCGGAGATTACTAAGGTTGCGTTTGGTTTGAAAGAAAAGAAAGGGAAATCCATACAGCATAGGTGCTTTTGTATCTCACTTATATAGGTTTCCCTATCTCACTTAAGCCCAACATCAGTGGTTGTGTTGGGCTTAAGTTAGCTTTGGTCTAGCTAGGGGTGTAAATGGATCAGATCATGATTTAATCGGATCCTATTTGGTCGAATTTGGATCACCACTGTTCGGATCACTCCCCATCCAATCCAATATATGTTATATATTTATAAATATATATGTTATTTATTTATTTATAAATATACTTTTTATATTGTACTTTTATAAATTTGTTATATTATTTACTTTTTATAAAAAATATGTATATATATGATGAAAATATTTAAAAAAACACGTATTTTTTGTTTTCTCTTTATTTAAATTGGTATATTTTATTTTTCTTTTAATAATTTATTAATTTTTAAGGAAAACAAGTCAGATCAGATCATATCTGAAAATCCAATAGGATAGTCGAAGCCTATCAGATTTGACCGGATCTTCGGATCGGATCTCTACAATAATATTTGTTATTATTATATATATGAGTTTGTGCATTCATTAATATTTGGTGCACTTAAATCATGATTTCAATTACCTATATTGTTGATGTCACATTGTATATTTAGCTCCATTTGGAAGGAGTACAAATACAAATATGTAGAGTGTAAAACATTGTATTTTGTATTATTTTGTATGGACTTGTACAGTACATATTTGTATTTGTACTCCTTCCAAACTGAGCTTTAATTTTCATTTATTCATATTTTATAAGGCACACTTATCATCAAAACTTTAAAGCTAAAGATGTCATTTAAACCTGTCAGCAGCTCTACTCCTATACCGCCTTCTCTTATTTCTCCTTAACGTATTCTCCTTCCTCCCTTATCCATTTCCAACCCTTCCATTAACCATGTGGAAGCCCTCTCTTCTTATCCATTTTCAACCTTTAATGTAGCCATGTGGACGCCCTCTCTTCTTTATTAAAGTCCCATTCCTATTCAAGATTATTCACATCATCATGCCTCTCCTTGCTCCAAAACCCCTTCTTAATTTCCTGTTTTTATGAATTTTTTATTTTTCTATTTTCATATAATTGTAAAAGCAACATAGCCTAAATTATCTCTAACAATCAATAAGTGGGGTTTGCTTTCTAAAAAAACCTTATCCTGACTATAGCATGTGTAAATAAATGTTAACCACTCTGCCTAGTAATAGATGTTAACTATATAAAAGATAAAATAGGCCAAAATCCAAAACAAAGTCTGGGCCCAGATCCACGGTCAAAAAGGAAATGAAGAAACTAATGGTCAACAAAACCAATGGCTTGGATCCGGTTTGTATTGTACGTAATCACCCTGCAGATTCATGACTATGGAATTGCACAACTTTCTAATACTAATAGTTTGTTCAGCAAACACGGCAACACCATAACATGCAAGGAAGTGTGATGAGAGAGGATCGAAAACACAGACCAATGGACGTTGAACTTGAAACTCACATAACAGCAGATCATCATCGTCACCAATAACCTCTCAAGACTCAGAGTCCCTCATGATTGAAACTATAGATTAAGTAACTGGTTTGTGTTATTGATTGATTAAAAGCCAATATATGTAGGATATAACTGATCAATTCAAATGATCATGTAGACTCTTTTTAGTTCCAAATGCATCTTGTTGGGGCTGACAAAGCTTGCATGTGCATTGCCTTCTCTACGACCTTCAAAGGGGTAGCACGCACGTGGTATATAAACCTCATGTACGGAACAATTAAGAGTTGGGTGCAGCTCGTGCAAATATTCACCTCGCACTTCATCACCAGCAAAAAGTGTCCGAGGTCACAAGAAAGCCTCCTCAGCATAATCCAGAGGGAAGGAGAGTTAATTCGAAGCTACATCAAACGCTTCAACGACACCTGTTTGTTGATCCCAGACTTAGATCCTGCTGTAAGACTCACGGCAGCAAAGAAGGGCATCACTCACAGGGAATTCAAGTGGCATGTGGTGGCAAACAAGCCTAAAGACATCACCGAATTCCTCAAACTCGCCGATCAGTTCATCGAGAACGAAAAGGAGATGAATAAAAAGACTGAAGCCCCGGCGGAGAAAAGAAAGAGGGAAGACAACAGTTCGAACAATGGTGGCAGCAAAAGGAGGAAATGCAAGTCCCCAACCAGGGGAGGGAACAGGTCAGATTTACGTTCCCAAACTCCCCCGGTTCAAAGAATGAACTTCACACCCCTCAACGCGAAGCGGAGAGAAATCCTCATGGCAATCAAATACGCCCCTTACGTAAAGTGGCTACTTCGGTTGAAGGGAAACCCTGCCACAAGGAATAAAAATGTATACTGTCACTTCCATAGAGACCATGGTCACAGTACCGAAAGTTATAGGACCCTTCATAACGAGATAAAAGAACTCATCCATCGCAAATACTTAAAAATTTTGTACAAAAAGATAATAAGAACTAGATAGATCGGCAGGGGGAGCAAAGAGATGCTCCGGAGTCCAGCAGGAGGCACAATGAGCAACCATAAAGACAGTTGCCCGAGGAGAGACCGCAAAGGCTGAAATTTTGGCATTCTTACAAGGAATGAGATTAGCACTACAGCTTGGTCTCAGAGACTTGGAAGTTGAAGAGGTTCACAACTAGTCATTCATTGGGCAAAGCAAGTCAAATCAGCACCTCGGAAATACATACGTGATTTTATGGAAATTGATGTAATTACAAAGCGATTAAATTATAGTTTCAACTGGATGAGAAGAGCTGCAAATGGGGTGCATATGTTCTAGCTAAACAGAAAGTTGACAGACCTGACTAATTCTGGGAAAGTTTGTGAACTCTTGTGGCCAGGGTGTGTCAGTTGTATTAAGTTTTAATTTATTAGTGAAATCCTTTTTCTGATAAAAAAAAGAAAGTGGGTCAATTGGTTTCTGCCATGGATGTTTTTTCAGAGTGTCAAATGGATCAGAAGACATTGCTTTCCAGTTGAGTTACATAAAAAAAAAACTTTCAGGAATTTGTGGTGCCTTGAGGATCACTAGCAAGGTTCCTTTTGTTTTTGAGATTTATGGTGTTGTAGATTTTGTTAGAGCAGAGATCCTTGTTCTTAAGGACATTGCTATTCTCTCTGTCTTCAGGGGATTGTGGTGTAGGGAGATGAATGTATTGTGAACTTGTGATTGATTGGTAAGGGGCACAGCTAATGGCCTATGGTGGTCAGCTTATTTCAACAAAAGACCTTCACTTGGCATTCCTAGTGATATGAAAACAAAACCAAGAAGACCGATAGAGAAAAAGGAATATTTCTTTTTGTTGTTTATTTAAACAAGTTACAACCCTTATTTATAATAGGGCAGGGATACAAGGTCGGCTAGCTAAATTAGAATACAAGGGGGATATGTACACCAACTTTCGATAGGACTATCTCTCCTAGAATTAAGGAGATAATGATCCTTAAATCTAGGATAGTAATGCCGATAGAATACTAACATCCCCCCTCAAACTCAAGATGGTAATGTGTCAATCATCTGGAGTTTGCTAACTAGAGCACGGAAGCGAAGAGGAGAGTCAGCTTTGGTAAATATATCGGCAGATTGATCCTGGGAAGGGACAGGAACAAGGCGAACAGTACCCTCGAGCACATGATGACGAAAAAAGTGACAATCAGTCTCAATATGCTTAGTGCGCTCATGGAATACATCATTGTGGGCAATTTGTATGGCGCTACAATTGTCACAGTAAAGTGAGGTTGCAGATAATGAGTAAGTCCCATGTCATGGAGAAACCATCGTAAACATAACAGCTCAGAGGTAGTGTTAGCAGGAGCTCGATATTCAGCTTCAGTACTGGAACGAGAGATAACCGTTTGCTTCTTACTACACCAAGATATAAGAGAATCTCCAAGAAAGAAGAAATAACCAGTAGTGGAGCGTCTATCAGTAGGATCACCGGCCCAATCAGCATCAGAGTATGCGATCAACTGAAGAGAGGAAGAATTAGAGTAGTGAAGTCCATGAAACAAAGTGCCCTTGACATAACGGATGATACGAAGCACAACAGCATAATGAGTAGTGCGAGGGGCAGACATGAACTGACTTACAATATGAACAGCATACGCATTATCAGGATGAGTAACAGTAAGGTATACAAGACTGTCAACTAGTTGCCGATATAAGGTGCATTCACTAAGAGGAGTACCGTCAGTGGCTGTAAAATGGGAATTAGGCTCAATCGGAGTGTTAACAGTCTTAGTATCAGTGAGTCATGTACGAGAAATAAGATCAATAGCATACCTGGCCTGAGACAGATAATATCCCGATTGGTCGGAGGAGACCTCAATGCCTAGGAAATAATTGAGGCGACCAAGATCTTTCATTTTAAACTGTTTGCTAAGAAAAGTCTTAAGAGCGGAAATTCCCTGCAAATCATCGCTAGTAATGATCATGTCATCCACATAAAGGAGGAGAAGTACACAACCCTGAGAGGTCTTACGGATGAACAATGCATGATCATAAGTGCTAGATTTAAAACCAAATTGACAAACAGTAGGGCTGAATTTGGAGAACCATGCTCGAGGCGCCTGCTTAAATAGCTATCAGTGCTTAGCTGCAACAATTGCAATAAGACTGTGAACAGAGATGAGACGAGCAACCGGGGCAAAAGTCTCCTCATAATCAATGCCATACTCCTGTGTGAACCCTTTAGCTACCAATCTAGCTTTATACCTCTCAATAGAACCATCTGCCCGGGTCTTGATTTTGTAGGCCCATTTACAACCAATCACGAATTTATCTAGAGGCAGGTCAACTAAATCCCAAGTGTGAGTGCTTGTAAGAGCTTGAATTTCTTCTGCCATTGCTTTCTGTCTTAGAGGGTCAGTACTAGCCTCGCGATAAGTGCAAGGGTCATATAAAGATACAATGGTAGAATAACAATGAAAATCACGAAGAAGAACGAAAGGTTTAATGACCCTACCAGAACGACGGAGTGGAGCATCAAAACGGTCAGAGTCAAACTCATCAGGAGCAATCAAGGGCTCAGAAGAAGGTAGAGTTGGAGGATCCATAGCCAAGGTAGATGTAATCGGAGAGGTTGCAGGTTGTGCAGTACTGTTAGAGCTATCAGAGGAAGAAGTAGTCGGACCTGCAGGTAAATCATCAGGAAAAAGCAAAATAGTAGGATCAGTAAAGAAATGTGAAGGTGTCATAGTAACTCGAAATGGAGAGAGACTTGAGAACATTTTGTGTTCCCAAAAGGTAACATGACGAGATATGCGAAGTCGTTGGGAAAGAGGATCCCAACACCGATATCCTTTATGTTCAATTCCATACCCGAGAAAACAACATAGACGTGCTTTTGATTCCAATTTGGTATGTTCATGAGGTTGTAATAGAACAGAACAAGCACAACCAAACACACGAAGAGATTGGTTATCAGGGCAATGACCATACAGTCGTTCATAAGGAGAAATGTTACCAATAATAGGAGAGAGAATGCGGTTGATGGTATAAACCGCAGTGAGGGCTGCTTCCCCCCAAAATTGTTCAAGACAAGAGGAAGAGATTAAAAGAGCTCGAACAATATCAAGAATATGCCTATGTTTTCGTTCTGCATGTCCATTTTGTTGAGAGGTACCGGGACAAGATTTATGAATGATAGTTCCATTTGGTGAAAGAAATTGGATAAGGGTAGAATCTCGATATTCCATGGCATTATCAGTGCGAAAAATTTTGATGATAGAGGAAAACTGAGTTTTGATCATGGTGGCAAATTGAATATAAATTGTAGGTAGTTCAGATTTATTACGCATGAGATAAATCCATGTATATCGAGAAAAGTCATCAATGAAAATCACAAAATAATGCGAACCACCCATGGTATTATGAGGCGAAGGTCCCCAAATATCAGAATGAATAAGATCAAAAGGTGCAGAAGAAACAAAATCACTTATATTAAAAGACAAAGCATGATGTTTTGAAAGAGGACATGAAACACAATCAAGGTGAGTTGTTTTAACAGGACCCAAACACCCATTAGAAATTAAAGATCCTAATCTAGAGGTAGAAATGTGACCAAGGTGAGTATGCCAGACACTAGAGGTGACAGCAACAGCAAGGGATAGCAATTGAAGAGATGATAGCTCAAACAGTCTCCCAACCTTACGGCCTATCCCAATGATCTTCCCTATTCGTGGATCCTGCACAATACAACAATGACTTGGGAAATGTATTTCAAAACCAACTTCACATAATTATCCAACAGATATAAGATTTAAAGATAATTGAGGTACCAAAAAAGTGTTAGGAAGTGATAAGCGAGGTGTTGAATAGTTCCTACACTTTTGACAGTTAAGGTGGAACTATCAGCAGTATGAACAATTGGTGCAATAGAAGGATGTGACTTGGAAGTAAAGAGGGATGAATTGGATGTCATATGATTGCAACGGGTAGAATCAAAATACCATGATGAGGGAGTACCTGGAGTGACGGACAGGACTGAATTAGAAGGCATACTAGAAGTAGGTTGGAGCTGGTGAAGAAGGGCTTGGAGTTCTCGAAGAGAAAATTTTAGAGAGGTGTTATCAGAAGAATCCTTTGTGGCAGCAGCTGCAGTAGAACTCGAAGCCTGAGAACCCACGGATGATGACTTCTGTCCATACGCCTTTTTGGCTTGCAATCGATAGCACTCATAGATAGTATGACCAGTCTTCTTGTAGTAATTGCAGAAAGTCCGCTTTGAAGATTTAAAGGGAGTTGAAGAAGAAGCAGGAGTAGCAAGAACAACATCGGTAGATAATAAGGATCACTCATTCCGAAGTATTTTTAGTCGAGTTTCTTCAGAGAGCAAGTCTTTGATTACAACTTCAAGGGAAGGCAATGGGCTACAATGAAGTAGAGTACCACTACTAGGTTCATACTCATCCCTGAAAGTCATCAGAGGATGCCAAACACGTTGGCGATCACGGAGCTTAGAATAAGTAGTAGCTGCAGAGGTACTATCCCATTCAGGTTCACACTATGCTAGCTGATCCCAAAAAACTTGTAATTCAGAGACATAACTGTGAATGGTCTGTTTAGGTTGCTGCTTCATACGGTGAAGACGCCTATAGAACTGAAACTGATATACATCATCAGAAATAGAATAACGAGCTTGTAGGAATTCCCATACCTCTTTAGGAGAGTCATATCTGCAAAATTCCAACTTGATGCTTGCAATACAAGTATTGTGAAACCATGTCAATATTTGATGATTTTTTCCGTCCCATTTTTTTAGTCGTTTAGCAAATTTATCTTCCGTTTCATCAGCAATTTTAGTAGGTTTGAGAATCTCACCAGTCACATATCACCATAGAAGGCGTCCCCCTTAAGGAAACTGCACACCTCTTGGGACCATAAATCATAATCGGATCCATCGAAGGTAACAGTGATGGGATGAGAGATATGTTGAGCAGCTTCAGATGAATCCATGAGAAAAAACACAGATCTTTGGAGCAGCACAAATCACGGGAAAAGCTTAATACAGACCGATGTCAAGAAGCTTTGCCAGATGCAAGCAGCTGGAACTTTGCTCGTTCCTATGAAGCAAACACTAGCCTGGTACTTGCCCTTTACTAGAAAACAGCCCAAAAGAAGACTGATCGAAACAGTCCTTAGAGAACCACCAAATCAGTCTCAGGGATTACATAGAAGGTATGCACTTCATTCGAAGTAGACAATACCCAGGAGCCTCCGAGACGATGCACTGCATTGCTGTTCGGGTGTGTCCATCAGCGGAGCCTACATTGCTGTCCCATCGTGAGCACGTGTTTGGGCATTGGAGGTACACTACTACAACTCAGTTTTCAGAGTCGAAAACATGAAATCTGGATCGAATGCGCTGGTGGACTGTTGAGAGTGAAAGTGGATGATGGCGACTGTGAACCAACACTGCCAGCGACAACTAACTATCAATGGTGGCGGAAGAAGAACCTCAGAGGGGAGGATACGCATTCCATTCATCCTTCCCATTCTTCTGAAATTGACCTGGTTCAAAATCCATCTCCCACAACCGCTATCGCCACCACTGCCATGGGGTCAAGCTCTACTAGGACTTCACTCGTGCTGCGTACTCCCAGAATTCGATGTCAGTGGAGAAGCTTGGATCATCAACCCAGAACTATGGAGCTCCAACACTCTTGAGGTTCGTGATTGCAAGGGGAATGGTCCCAGAAAAAAAAGCCAAGATGTTCGTCCAATGGCAGAATTGGAAAGCCGAAGTCATTCCTCTGGGCTACGAAAACAAAACCAAGAAGACAGATAGAGAAAAAGGAATATTTCTTTTTGTTGTTTATTTAAACAGGCAGCCCTTAGTTATAATAGGGCAGGGATACAAAATCGGCTAGCTAAATTAGAATACAAGGAGAATATGTACACCAACTTTCGATAGGACTATCTCTCCTAGAATTAAGGAGATAATGATCCTTAATTCTAGGATAGTAATGCCGATAGAATACTAACACATAGGTTGACATCGTGTTCATGCAGCTTGTGGTCCTGCATMACATTTTATCTGGTGACCTTGCTAGACAATGTGTTAGTGAAAWAGAGTTGGTGTGAGTATTCTTTACTGGTGTAGTCTTTCCATTTCCTTATTTCACTGCTTCATCTCTGAGTCCTTTATTTTTATCACTGTTGCCTTTTTTGACATCTTTCCCTTTTCTCCTTGATAAAATGCTATTACTATTAAAGATAAATTAATAAAATAAAAAGCCTGCCATCTTTAAAAGACAATAGGGTCTTTTCTCTAGTGATAAAAATATTTGTGCAATCTGGTCCTAAGCATGGTTTGCAATATTGACATTTTTGGTGATATATCCTCATTTGCTAGGTGACGATATGAAATTTTTCGGGAATCTTTTTTTCTTCATATATCCCCAATATTTTGCCAATATATCAGTGATATTTCAGATTTCATTGTAGAGTATATATTTAAAATTTAAAATTTTAAAATAATATTAAAAGCTTTTCAATATTTCATTAAAATCATCATAAGTTTTTAAAAAGAAAAGATGGCTAAAGACCAAAAGGGAGACAGAGAAACATACCTATTATACTCTTAATTTTTCCTATTTGATTTATATATCTTTACTATGGTTTTGGGCCTAAAATGTGCAATTATATTTCTTTTATTAACTAATTCCATGTTTCTAGAAAACTTTTCTGATTTTTTAAATTTTCCAAATATCTTAGTAAAATTAACAAAATACCTCTGAAATTTCTCCAACTCTAGTTCATGGATACCGGAACTACAAACCATGGTCCTAAGTAGCATAAATGTCTTGGTCATTATCTTATTAATAAATAGTACTTTTATATGTGGACTTCTTGAAGTCTGTTTGATCTACAGGGACATGCACATGCATAAGGGCTCATGAAACTAGAAGCTTTTCAGATTTGATGGCTTCTCCCTGCTGCTTGACACTTGATTTACTCCCAAGGCTCCATTTGGTAAGAGTGCAAATACAATGTTCAGTGTACATACAAATATTTAAGGTTCATGAAAATGACAGCACTTGTATTTTCACTGAACATATTTGTATTTACCCACTTCCCAAGCGGAGCCCTAGTTACAAAGTGTGTCATGCATGAGGAAATTCTTATGCCTTCAGGCTTTTTCCTTTTATCATATTGATGCTTGAAATGTTAATGAAAATAATAAAATCCTCTGACATTGTTAGTTTGACAAGAAGAAAAAACTTGCAAACCCTTCTGGTTTTGTAGCACTATAGTGTAGAGCATCTGGTTATGTCTTCACTGAGAAAGGTTTGGAATTGAGCTGGATGATTCATTTATTTTAGTTTTAAATGAAAGATGAAAATGAAATGTTTGCTGGGTTTGAAGGAAAAAAACATAGGATTATGTTTTTCTTACTAAAGGTAATCTGACCGTCCTGTATTGAAAAATTTTCTACAGGGTTAGTTTTGAGTTGGAACCCGGAGCAGTTGGAAACACAACTGACTTCAGGGAAGCAAATAAGAGGATTGAATGGGGCTTAAAAAAGGCAAGATCTTTTTATCAGTGCTTTGACCTTCCTTTCTTCCCAATAAATGGTTAGACTATTGAAGAGGGCTCATTTCGACTTATACAAGCTTTGTTCCTTGCACTGTATTAAATATTGATCAATATGTTCCAGGTTGTTGGTGGATCAGAACATACTCTACGTGCAAAGCTCACACTTTCACAGGAATCACATGGTAAGACTTCCTCTTTCTGATTATAGCTTCATACACATATGTGCTGCATGCTTACTATGGTTTCTTGGATCACTGTTTTAAAGGTGTGCGAGGCTTACGCCTGGAGGTGTGCCTCCAGGCGAGGTGCTCCCAAAACGCCCTGAGGCATATGCCAGAGGCGCTGACACCTCTGAGGCGGCGTGCTAGAGGCATACGCCTCTTGCGCTTTGATGCGCCTCATGCACATCTTATATAAAAAGACAGAAAAAAAAGAAAAAAAGAAAAAGAATGGGAAGGGAAAGAAACCATAGTGTCAAGACGGAAAGGAAAGGAAAGAAAAAGAATGGGAAGGGAAAGAAAAAGAAAGAGAAGAAAAAAAGAGAAGGAAAGAAAAGAAAAGGAAAGGGAAGGGAAGAAAAGATAAGGGAAAAGGAAGTGGTTTGCCCTTTCAACTAATGTTATGCATCTTTATTCTTCTTAACATAAAAGATTTTTATTAAAAATTTTAAAAAAAAATGAGATCCCCCCTTCCTCTTCATCCTCCTAACCCTCTCCTCTTAAGGAGGCTTATGCCTCCTTGTATTCAGGAGGCTTACACCTCTAGGTAGTGGAATGCCTCGCATCACACCTCCGCGTTTTAAAACATTGTCTTGGATTTCTTGTAAATTATTGATTGTAATTTGTTTCTGTACAGGAAATATCATGAGGGAAGCTGGACCAGTAAGCATGACCTTCGCAATACCTATGTACAATGCTTCCAGGCTTCAGGTGAAGTAGTCTTTCAATAATTGCAATCTGCATTATCTACCTACCTACCTACCTACCCACCTACCTATATGTTTCCATTACACCAAGGCAATGACCCCCTTATATGTGAGTTCGGATCTCCTGGAAGCAAAAACTCTACACACACATAATCCAACTGCACATGGGGAATATCGCCCATACATGTATGTTAAATTCATAGGTAGATGTAGCTGGATACCCATGCTTGCAGGAGATTCCGGTGCTTTGTGTGTATGTATGTATGTGTTCGTGAGTTTATGAAGTAAAGGTGCACTATAGTGATTGTGTTTTCTAATATTCAGTACAGATGATCTTCCATGGTATGGCACGTTATTTGGATTTTGTAGCCCTTTATACCCAAGTTTTTGCCATTTTTAGCATTATTCTCTTGAGGAATTTCCCTCTGTTTTTGAGTTGATTGGGATATTTTTTTGTTTCATTTTTCTTCTTTAGTTTGTGTCTGTAAACATATATTCATAGGTTCTCCCCCTTTGACCAATGTAAATATACTTAAAAATCCATTTTGGAACTCCTTTTCCTTCTTGGTTTCTGTTTTGCTGTGTTTCAGTCTTTTTCTTATAGGTCATGCCCATTAAATTTTGTATCTTCTTTTTATCTTTTGTTAGCACATAGTTCTAAAGTTACTGAAACAAATAAAATGAACAAAAATGGAGGCTTGTGGTAATCTGTGACAGAGGTATTTTCCATTGTTTATAGTAGCTGAGGTAATTTTCTTGGACACTATTTGTCAAATTGTTTTTCTTTTTCTTTTTCCCCTCTTGAAGAATTAATTTAGTAGCCAAAGTGTGTCTTTTGTATTTTTTCTTGTCATTGTTCAGCTTTATGTACTAATTTCATTTGTTTTTACTTGAAGAATTTACCTTTTTAATAAAAAAAAGTTAGCATATCAATACACTTTAAGGTGTTAATGTTGTTTCGCAAGGGTTTCTTGAGTGTTTCTTAGTAATTACAACTTTGTGCAATACCGTGTTTTTTTATCAAGTTTTTCTGAAGTATGTTCCTAGTTGGGGATTCTAGTGAAAAAACCTACTTTCATAATTAGAGGTTCTGGACTCCAAAATTCATCCAATGACTATGTGGAGGTGAGGATTTGTTGGTTAATATGGGGCATGTCAATTACATGATGGAATCAATTCTGATACCAATGGCCTTAACATTAGATTTTACCCCTCCTTTTTTATCTCCTTCAGTATGCTGAAGTACCATATTAATATTATGTAATTATTTTCTTCTATGAATGCTTCTCAAGGTGCCTAGTTCCCTTGCTTTATTGATGCAGGTAAGATACCTACAGATAGAAAAGAAGACCAAGACCCACAATCCATATCGATGGGTAAGATATGTGACACAAGCAAATTCATACGTTGCTCGCATATGACCTTTTTCATTTTTTTTCTTTTCCATTTCTGTCTTATTTTTCTTCTTAAGTGCATCAAAATGGTTAGAAAGGTTAAATGAGAAAGAAACTTGCTTTCAGTTACAATTTGAGAACTATATTAAGCAATATAGTACTTGTTCAGTTCATTTTAAGAGCTATATTGACTCACTAAACCCTCCTACTAACTGGTTGACTGACCACTCGCTCTTTAGTTTATTCTACCACCGCACTGGTGTGACCTATTTAGTCATAGATGCACACGTAGCTGCATTGCCTGCATTAACATGTGACGCAGCTAGCTGAAACTTGTATGTTCATTTTTTTTCCTTGGGCTCAGTTTGGAAGGAGTATAAATACCAATATGCAGAGTGTAAAACCTTGTATCTTGTATTATTTTGTTATGTATTTCTACTATATATATTTGTATTTGTACTCTTTCCAAACTAAGCCTTGGGGAATCTTGGGCCAATGTCTTGAGGTGTAAATATKACCAAACAGATGACAACTAAACGATGCTTGGGCACTCTATTTGTCCTTACTAGACAACCATTATTTTAAATTTTAGTGTAATTTTGGTTTCCTGGTTATGGCAAAAGACATGAAATATGTGAAATTTTGGGTGAATTTATTTCGGCCAAAATTTCGGCAAATATTCCAAAATTCTGGGATTTCGATGATCAATCTTGCCTGAAATTTTGGATATACAATTAACACTAATAAAATCAATAAATATAAATATTATGAATTCATGATGCTGGAAAGGTGTGATTCTGGGATATTTGTGGGCTATTGTGCGATTTTGGTGATAGCTATAATCCTTTAGCAGGAGGTTTAACTCTCTTGAGCTAGGCTTATATGGCTTCTATAATATCAGTCAAGCTCACAATGAAAACTATTTGCTTTGGAAGAAGTAGATTTTTCAGATCAAATGATCTGGATTATTTAATATCAGCAGCGAGACGGGATCTGCTCCTCACACTTGGTCACCTCACATGCACATCCACCGTGCATTGGGAATATCTCCCATGAATAATAACTTAAAAGTATGGGAGATGTTCTCAATGCATGGTAGGATGTGCGAGTGAGGCACCCTCTGTGAGGAGCACATCCGGTCTCATCGGGGAGGGGTGGGGGCGGAAAGAGAGTAGAGGCAAGTATATTTGAAAGTGTGGTGAGAAAATCTCTGTGGAGAATTTTTTTTTGTGTTCTATTATGCAAGGCACGATCATATATATACATACAATCTACGCCTGAATTTTAGGAGTAGGAGACTTACTTGTAGTAGGAACCTAATCTACTAATCACATCTAGCTAAAGACGCCTAGGGAACTACCAGGAATCTGTGCCTAGATACATGCATGAGAGAATTGCCCATGCAAATTTCCCAGTCCATGATGAATTCCCAATACTCCCCCTCGAATTGGCGCATGAAGATTTCGAATGCCCAATTTTTCAAGGAAATAGGTGATCTTTCCCAAGAGCCTTCATCAAGATGTTAGCCAACTGCTCTATGGTTCGAACATGGCGAGTAACAATGTTCCCATGCCACAGCTCATCGCGAACAAAATGGCAGTCAACTTCAATATGCTTTGTCCGCTCGTGAAACATTGGATTCACAGCGTTATGCAGAGCTGCCTAGTTATTACAATATAAGCGCGCAGGTTCATCATGCGCCACCCCCAAGGACAAGAGAAGTTTCTTCATCCACTTCAACTCACAGCTTGTCGTAGCCATCGAACGATATTCTGCTTCTGCCGAGGAGCACGACATAGTGTGTTGTTTTTTCGTTTCCTAGGAAATTGGTGACTGCCCCAGCAGAACGAAATAGCCGGTCAACGATCGTCGCAACAACGGGCAGCTTGCCCAATCAAAGTCACAATAAGCATACAAACGCAGATCGCTATCGGAACACAACAATATACCTTGTCTAGGATATCTTTTCATATATCGCACTATACGCGGAGCTGCCTCCCAATGTTCTTGCCGTAGACTCTGCATGAACTGGGCCAGGATATGAACACAAACACAGCTCAGGCCGTGTGATGGTTAAGTATATCAACCGCCATACTAGTCTTCGATATTGATTCGGATTATCCATCAGAGCACCCTTGGCCAGTGCAAGATGATGATTCTGTTCAATGGGAACGAACGTTGGTTTGGCCCCCAATAGTCCACATTCCGAGATAATGTCTAGGGCATACTTCCGTTGAGATAAAAATATTCCCTCAGGACCACGAGCTACTTCAATACCTATGAAATATTTGAGTGGACCCAGATCTTTCATTTGGAAGCATCGACTGAGATACTCTTTGAATTTCACAATGGCTATAGTATCATTTCCCCCAATAATCAAATCATCAACATATATCAGCACGTGCAGACGAACATTGTGTTTGAAATAAGTGAACAAAGAGTAGTCAGGATACGATTGAACAAACYCGAACTATATCAAGGCCGTTGTTAATTTTGAGAATCAACATCTGGGAGCTTGACGTAATCCATAGAGAGATTTCTTCAGTTTGCACACTTTTGTTTGATCCTTAGATGCAAAACCTGGCGGCAACTGCATGTATACCTCCTCATCCAAATCCCCATGTAAGAATGCATTATGTACATCCATCTGATGCAACTCCTAGTTCTTAGCGGCTGCCACGGCTAAGAAAGTGCGGACTGTCGTCATTTTGGCCACAGGAGCGAAAGTCTCATTGTAATCTAACCCCTCAACTTGTCTGTTCCCGAGAATAACTAAGCATGCCTTATGCCGTTCAACCATCCCATCTGAATTGTATTTGATCTTATAAACCCACTTGCTCCCTATTGCCTTTTTTCTGGGAGGTAGAGTTTCCAATGTCCAAGTACCATTGTCCTCCAGAGCCTGGATTTTCTTCCTCATAGCTTCTCTCCATTTCTCACTTTCCATTGCCTCAGAAAAGCTGGTGGGCTCGGCTCCTACAGGGACTGCGGCTAAGAATGCTTGATGTTTAGCAGAGAAGTTAGTACATGTCACATAATTCGCTATGGGATAGGGAGTCGTACCTGAGGACTCTGATTCAAGGTTGGCTTGAGTGTCAATGGGGTCTTAACATCGAGCAGTGTAGGTCACGTAGGGCTTCAACAAAACAGACGGCGTGCGATGCCGATGTCCCCTACCAAGTTGCTCCTCTAGTGCCATTTGTGGTGCTGGAACCACACTAATTCTGTCCTCACTGCCATTAGTTCCCATTTCCTGCAAACTCTCTTCATCTTCGTGCTCCTCCTCTCTTCCATCATCATTATTTTCAAGGCTCCCCCTATCACAAATGTTGGCTGCATCACTCCCCCTGTTTTTATTTCCTCTGTGGCTGTGAAGAGCATCATCATCAACCATGGTATCAGCTGGTGCAATGGCTGGCCCATGGTTGTCTTCCAAAGTTGCTTTTAGATTAGCAGCATATGGAAATACATTCTCATTGAAGACTACATCACAGGAGACAAAATATTCACCTCTTCCAACATCATTTATGCGCCAACCTTTCTTTCCGTAGGGATAACATACAAAAACACACTTCCTACTCCTTTCTCCAAACTTATCCTTGTCTCGAGGACTCCAATGAGCATAGTAGAGACAGTCAAATACTCTCATTTGCTCGTATTGAGGTGGCGTCCTGAACAGTACCTCATACGGAGTCTTCCCGCCAAGTACAAAAGAAGATGTCCTGTTTATCAAGTATCCGGTGGTTAAAGCACACTCCCCCAAAAAACCAATGGGCAGGCCTGCATGAAATCTCAATGCTCTCGCAACATTCAAGATATGCCTGTGTTTTCTCTCCACCCGACCGTTTTGTTGCGGTGTCCCAACACACGAAGTTTGATGCAGAATGCCATGAGTCTCAAAGTATGATTTCAAGCTTTTAAATTCTGTTCCATTATCACTTTGAACAGTCCTGACTTGCTTGCCAAATTGACGTTCTACCATGG